TGCTATTGTTATTACTGTTATTACTAGCAATGTTTGAACCTTTATGGCGTGCTTCACCAGGTACCATGCTAGCAATCCCATTTAATCCTCACAACCACCATACGAGACAGTTACTATGATTCCCTCTATTGTGTAGATGAAAACACATGGAGTACTTGAGGTTAAGTTCTTGCCTAAGATCACTTAGGCAGAGCTGGGATTTGAACAGCCAGATCCACCCGATTCTCTGAAGCCCATTTTTCTTGCTGGGGGTCACAGATAGGAAAGGGACAATGAATCTTTTGTTCACTGTTTGAAAGGATGATACATTCGCATAGTCCAAAACTCAGAAGGTACAGAAGGGAAGTATCTCCCAGCCACCCTCGTGCTCTCTCCTGAGTTTTTTGTGAACCCTTGTAGACTTATTTTATGTATATTTTCATAGTATGTACACACATACACACAGACACACACACACACACATTTCCTCTCTACAGAAATGGTAACATACTAAAGGTACTCTTCTGTACCTTCACAGTTCAAGTACCCAATACCCCACCTAGGACTTGGCCAAGATCCCAGCCAGGTAAGGGCAGGGCAGGCACTTGGCCTCCAAACTCTGCATCCAGTGCTCACTCCCCACCGCACCCCCCAACTCACCCACAGCAGCTGACTCAGCCCCAGGCTGCTCTAACAACCAGACACAAAAGCAGCGAGGAATGGCCATGCCGCCTTCTGGGCAGGACACTCCATCCTGCAGAAGGGACCTTTAGGCTCACTCCTCCATCTGCGAAGCTGGGTTCCCAGGGGATGAGGCAGGTGGTCAGACTCACCCTGTCCGCCTTCTTCTTCTTCTGTGTGGCGGCGACAGCAGACAGAGCCCGCTGTAACTCTCCCGTACACTGCGATGAACGTTGCAGGCGGGCAGCCAGATCCTTCGACTCTTCTGTAATGAGAGAGTTGAGATGGGGCCCAAAGGACTCCCCCTAAAGACCTATCGAAGTGCCAGGTTGAAGGATGACAGGGTGCCCAGATTCCCACCTTCAAAGTACATGAGAGAGCGTTTCGTATGATACAGGTCTATAGTTAGTTTCCTTTTCTGTATGTTCAATCTCTGGATTTGAGCCTTTGGGAGAAAAGCCAAGCAAGTGCTGAAAGAGAAGGAAAGAAACATTCTCGGGAGGACAGGAGAAAACTTCACACCCTCCACTCACCTCTAGCTGCCTTTTGGCTTTCTGTTTCTCATTGTTTGCCTTCTTTTCCTACAGGAAGAGGAAGACAGAGCTCTTACCAGGGGGAGGCAGAGATGGCACAGCAAGAGACAGGCCCCCAGAATGCCACCAATGCCCCAGGACAGACCCACCCATGGGATTAGGTTATCAGGGACCCTGTGGGGATGGGGTGGAATCTGAAGGGTGAGCCTTCTTCCCCAGGCTGGGAGTGGGCGAGACGAGACTGGGGCATCTACATCTGAGTGCCCCCCAAACCCAGCCGTCATGGCATGAGCAAAGAAATCGTGTTACTTCTTCCAGCTGATGTTCCACTTGTTTCTTCTGTTGTTCCTGTGGGGAGAGTCAAATTAAGGTGATGGAGGGTGGCCCCCTCAACTCTATTCCCCAGGCCAGGAAGCGGTAGGCAGGGCCAGGAATGGATTTTAAAGGCAAAGTTCTCAGACCCAATGGGAACACAAACTGGTAAACTCTCCTCAAGCTCCCAAGGACAGAGGATTTGGGTCTTTGTCTTTGTTGCTTTTTGCCCACAGCCACAGAACTCAGTGTGAATCTGGAATCTCTTGAGAGGACAGGAACATAAACCTCTAGAGATGGAGTTTGAGAAAGGCCCCCCTTCTGCCCGCTTGTGATTTAGAAAAGTGCGTTCATTCAATAAACATTTACTGAGCACGTATGGGTCAGGTACAGTTCTTCACAGTATATATAAGATGGAAAAGGACAGATAGGAGCCCTTGGCCCTGAAGTTTCCATTCTAGGGAGCCTTTACATCTCAGACTCTCAGAGCTAACAGACACCTTTGATACTCACTACCTCCTCTGGAAACAC